CTGAGGAATTCTGGGAATTGAAGTCCACGAGTCATGAGGGGACCATAGTTCCCCCATGCTGGCTGAGGAATTCTGGGAATTGAAGTCCACGAGTCATGAGGGGGCCATAGTTCCCCCATGCTGGCTGAGGAATTCTGGGAGTTGAAGTCCACGAGTCTTCAAGTTGCCATGATTGAGGACCCCTAGCCTAGGCCGAATTGCCCGCAGGCTTCATCCCCCATCCTGGCCCTCCATTAGGGTCAACGGCAAGAAATTCTGGGAGATGAAGTCCACCCCCCCACCCCTACCCCCGGCGTGAGAGACCCAGAGACCCTGCCGCGGAGGCGACCCCGACCCAACCGGCAGCCCTGCCCTTACCGGGCCTTCCTCTGCCTGTTCCCGCGGACAATATAGCTTTAAAGCTTCGCCCTTCGCTCCTCCGCCGGGCTCTTCACCTCCCTCGGTCACCATGCTGCTCCGCCGGCCACGTTCTCCTGGTGTTCGGAAGAGGCGGAAGCGTTCGTGACGTCATTTCCTCCTCCGCCACCGGCGGGAATCGCTTCGCTTTCTCACTTGGCCGATGAAAGGAGAAGCGGCCGGAAATGCCTTGGACGCCATCTTTGTTGAAGGCACGAGGTAGCCTTCGGTTTCAGACTGCCCGAGGAAAGGTATGCTGCTCCGCCGGCCATGCTCTGTTTCGTGATCAAAAGAGCCCGAAGCTCTCATGACGTCATTTCCGCCTCCGCCAAACTTTCGGTTTCTCACTTGGCGGGATGAAGGGGGAAGCGGCCGAAAATACCTTGGACGCCATCTTGGTTAAAGGCACGATAGCCTTCGTTTTACGACGACTTACGCTTGTTTCCTGGGGGAAAAAAAGGCAGGAGGGGGGTCGTAAAAGCGGAATTCTCCTTTTCTCTCTTGTTCTCTCACCTGAAAGAGATTCTGCTCTGCTGAGGATGACAAGTTGCCTCAATATTAATCAATATGGGGAAGATACTTGCGAATCTTCTATTTTCGTTATCTCTATGGTCTTTTCCAGAGAAGGAGCTCTTGATGGAACATAATTTGATTTTCCATCCATGAAAGGAAAACGGCACTGGACACATTTCTTGACTCCAAATGGGTAGAAAAGTGCATTTCAAAATGCAGAAAACATAATGAATTTTGTTTATTAAAGTTATGGCAAAATATGTGTAGTCCTCAACTTACGACTGCAATGGAGCCCAAAATTTCCATTGCTGAGCAACGGTCGTTAAGTGAGTCGTGACTCATTTTACCACCTTTTTTTGGCCAAAGTTGTGAAGCGAATCACTGCAAATACAGACAAGGAGAAAAATACAGAATCAAGCGATTGTTAAAACGAATCTGGCTTCCCCCGTTGAATCTGCTTGTCGGAAGCTGGCTGGGAAGGTTACAAAAGTTGACCGTGTGACAGTGCGACAGTCATAAATACATGCCAGTTGCCAAGCACCCATATTCTGATCATGAGGATGCTGTGACAGTCCTGTGAAAACCAGGCACGGGTCACACTTTCTGGTGATGGAACGGTCCTAAACAAAAGATGGTTAAGTACAGCATGATAGTGCTGAATGAATGATAGTTATCCCAAAGGTGCTTTTTCAGGAAGCAACTGAACTGTTTTTCCTTTGAAGATGTTTCGCTTCTCATCCCAGAAGCTTCTTCAGGTTCTGACCGGATGGTGGGGAATGGAAGGATTCATACTCCTTGCAGACAGCCAGTCATTTGCCTCCTTTTAGTCCTTGAGGCCATTTGGAGGTTTACCTGTGTCCTCAGGGTCACCTGAGTGGTGCAAATGGGTGTGGAGCTTCTTGGCTGCAAATGTTTTCTGCCCTGGGTCCCTTCATAACTGAAGACGGGCACAGGATGATGGGGATGAATCTGTGTTGTCTGCATCTCCAACTGGAGCGCAAAGGGTTCCTGCAGTCTGCAATGTTTTCTGGAAATCCGTTCACACTCCCGCACCATTCTGAAACTGATTTCCAGAAAACACTGCAGACTACAGGAAGCATTTGCGCTCCAGTTTGAGATGCAGACAACAGACTCAGTGAAGGGACCCAGGGCTGGTCATTTGCATTATTTTAGTCATTGAGGCCACCTGGAGGTTTATCTGTGTCATTCTTCTACAACAGTCCTTAAAGCAGTTACAAGAAGGCTCCACACCCATTTGTACCGCTCAGGTGGTCCTAAGGACACAGATAAACCTCCAGATGGCCCCAACGACCATCTAAAACAGTGGTTCTCAACCTGTGGGTCGGGACCCCATTTGGGGTCGAACGACCATTTCACGGGGGTCACCAAACAAGGCTGTCCGCCATATTTTTCCTTTTCTTTGGCCACGCCCCTGGCACCCGGTGATGTATAAGTGGTTGGGGGTCACCACAACATGGGGAAATGTATTATGGGGTCGCAGCATTAGAAAGGTTGAGAACCACTGATCTAAAACAATGCAAATGAGCAGCAAGTATAAATCCTTCCATCCTCCACCATCCAGTCAGAGCTGAAGAAGCTTCTGGGTCGAGAAGCGAAACATCTTCAAAGGAAAAACAAGACAGTCCAATTGCCTCCTGAAAAAGCACCTTTGGGAATTCTTAAATGTGTTTTACCCGATTTTACATCCTTTCCTGCCACAGCGGTTAAATGAATCATTGCAGTTGTTAAATCAGTTACATGGTTAAGTGAATCCTCATGGACTTTGCTGATCTCAGTCGCAAAAGGGAATCACACAATCCCGAGACACTGCAACTGTCATAAATACGAGTCAGTTGCCAAGCATCTGAATTTTGATCACGTGACCACAGGGGACGCTGCCATGGTCGTGAGGAAAAACAGCCATAAGTACTTTTTTTTTCAGTGCCGTTATAACTTTGAACGATCATAAATGAACTGTTGTAACTTGAGGACTTCCTGTATTATCTTTTCCCAAATGTGTAGTAGTTAAGTAAAAGTACCCGACTCATCAACCAGCAAGGAAAGACATCAAAAACCAGTTTTAAAGGCCTAGAACAGAGTTCTTCAAACTTTTGTGACTCGTGGACTTCAACTCCCAGAATTCCTCAGCCATCCTCCATTTTGTTAGATTTAAGACAGGGGTCTTCAAACTCGACCCTTTTATGACTCGTGGACTTCAACTTCCAGAATTCCTCAGCCATCCTCCATTTTGTTAGATTTGAGACAGGGGTCTTCAAACTCGGCCTTTTTATGACTCGTGGACTTCAACTCCCAGAATTTCTCCGCCAGGCACGCTGGCTGAGGAATTCTGGAAGTTAAAGTCCACAAATCATAAAAAGGCCGAGTTTGAAGTCCCCTGGCCCCAAAGTTAAAATCTATCCCACTGCTGCTTTTATTTAAGAGTATGAACCCGCCAGGCTTTTGTTTCAATTATTTTATTTTTAAAAAAATTAAAGACCTCCATGGCACAACTTCTCAGCACAATTAAGGGTTAGTTTCAACAATGACACTACAATTCTGTTCAGGTCAATCCAGAGAAAGAGAAGGAAAAAAAAAAAACCAATCTAAATTTCAACAAAATAATAATAATAAAAAAGATCACTTCAAACAAGATCTTTAAAAAAAAATCAAATTTGCAAATAGGACTATTTATACTGCCGTTACTTTTTCTTTTTTTATCCTTTTCCTGCCATCTCACACAATGCCAGCTCCCCCCCCCTCCTGAGAAGAGGGGGAAAAACATAATATCCCCAGGAAGTGCTGAGAAATTTTTTTTAAAAGTGTTCTGATACAACGTATACAGATGAGGTAATTTACAACACAGACGTTACAATCTGCAGGTTTTGGGCAGCAAGGCCAGGATAAGCACCGGGAAGAAAGTTTAGATGCATGCTTCTCAATTCCTTCCCCTTTAAGATGTGTGGACTTCAACTCCCAGAATGCACTTCCTGCCTGGCATTCTGGGAGTTGAAGTCCACGCATTTTTAAAGGAGAAGGAATCAAAGAAACACTGGTTTACATCACTCCCTCAACCAAATATTTCCGGTCTTGGGTTAGCTTTTTGATGGATACCGCTCCCCCTGGTGATCCTCCAAATCCTTATCGCCTCGCACCCAGCACCCTCGACTCCTGGGAAGCCCAAGATGAATCCCTTCTTGCGAAATTCAAAGATCAAAACAAGAAAGCAAAAGGGCCAAGTCCCCGGAGGAGCTGTCCTAGTTCAAATCTAGGCGCGCCTATGCTGCCTTTCCCAGTTTCTCACAGGCACCACGGTATCCACCGCGGGGAAATCTGGCCGGCGCCCATCTGGAAGTCTTTTCTCATCAGCGAAGGAGAGAGAATCCAGGGTCCCGTGCTATCGTTTGATGCTCCGGCACCCGGGGTCTCATCCTGCCCCCGACGAACACAAAAATGCCTCAACGAAGTCCCATTCGTCTTCTTCAGGCTGGTGTTTTCGGCTTCATGCTTCTAGAAGCAAGAAGCCGAAAACACCAGCCTGAAGATGACAAATGGGACTTCGTCGAAACGTCACCAAGACACTTCCAATTTGACGCGGGAGAAAACCCGAATAACCAAAGACCTACATACAAACACCCGCGAAAACCTCATCCCCAAGGCAATTAACAGGCCTCTCCTAACAGTGTCCCAACGGTGATATCCTATAGGATGGGCTGTTCCAGCTATGGACCCTGGAGATTTGGAAAGAGGGGGGAGAGAGAGGTCTTCTATTCTGCCCTTTACTGCTGCCACCCCGACATCTCAGTGCGACAGAAGGAAAACACAGGGTCCCCCCAAAACTCAAAATCCAGTGACATTTTGGCTTGTGAATATGCTCCTTGTAAGGCTTCTGAGCAGGGTGACGGCCAGCGAATCCCGGCAAGGTGCCGAAAGAAGAATTGGGAAATCTCGGGGTCATACACAGCCACAGCCCTACCTCCGGGTCCGAAGCCCCAATCCCGGGGTTAAGAGGCTGTGCGTCATGTCGAACATTGGATACTGGCCGAGGGAGAGCCTCTGCGCACAGGCCAACTTTAAACCTAACCTTTGATAAATTAAAAAACAAAACAAAAAATAGTTTATTTACAGCCAGGAATTCCGAGGTCGGGTATTTCAGCCTAGGAAGAGCGAGACCCATTTTACACACGGAGTCTTCGGTGGGGCGTGTTGTCGACAAGACACACAGCCCCAAAAGGGAGGACACGGTCCTCCGCCAGGACGCCGTTGGTCTGTTTTTGTGTTTTTTCACACCCTTTTGGGGGGGGGAGGGAAGTCACAGACAGCTTGCAACTCTCCCACCAGCTCCCATGAAGTAACACGCAGGCACACACAGCGATCTTTCTCGCCATATGGCACATGGAGAGGGGGAAAAAAAGAGGAGGGCAGGTGAGCTGGACAAGCGAGTGTCCCACCTCAGCTCATTGTTTCCCAAGATCTAACCTGTTCGAAGTTTGAGATGTTTTTTTTTAAAAAAACAAAAACAAAAGAAAGGAAAAACAGGTGAAAAATTATGTTCCAGGATTCCAGAAGGCGTTACAGGGAGAGCTTTTGCAATGGGGCCGGATATCTTTTGAAGAAGATACGGATCGGGAATGGCGAGGGCTGGAGGCTTTACGTTGAGAAGACAACCCAATAGGAATCTGACCGTTGTGACTTTTTTTCCCCGCAACCGGGTTCGTTCTGCGCCGCTGCAGAAGATGCTGACGTGGCCTTCCAGAAGCCCGGCGTCCCCCTCTTGCTGGCTTCCCGAGGCCGGAATTCAACAGGGGTAGGAGGGTTGTGATAGCGACACGTTTCCCCTGCGTTGGGGAAGGGGTGGGATGTTTGGGGACAACAGTTGAGTCGTCAGGACAAGAGAAACCAAGATCAGGAAGAACCGGCGTGCTCGCTTTGCGAGTCTTTCGAGGACTTGGCGACGGTGAGCAGGACAGACGAGACACAGTCCGTGGAACGCTCGCCGGGTGGATTTTGGCCAAGGGGTTCCTCTTGAGTTACAAAAAGTTCAAGTAAAAAAAAAAAGGCAGGCGGGCTGTGGGGGGGGGGAGAATTCGGCATGAGAAGATCCATCCATATCTATATATATCCAGGGAAAGAGAGAGATATACATATGGATGACGTGACGGAAGGACGATCAATCCACAAGCAACGGTTCAGCCAAGGCTCCTCCTGTCTCTCTCTTACCGCCCCCCCCCCAAACGTCGGCTACAAGTGACTGTGGTGGGGGGGGCGGATGGAGGAGGACCCTCAGCCCTAATGGTGGCTTCAGTCCGGCATCTGGGAGACGGGGATTCTTTTATTGCTGAGCCCCTGCGGCAGCAGGTACCGGCATGCCCAATGGGTTGGCCGCGGCAATCACTGGGGAGCCGGCAAGAGGTCCGAGGGGGGAAGACGTCGCCACTGAAGAAATCCCTGCGGGGGAAGGGGAAGAAAAGGAGAAAATTAGGGACCCAGAGAGAGTAATTTTGCCCCCCCCCCAAAATAAGACCCAACTAGGTAACATCAGCGCTAGAAGGGAGTGGGGTTTACAGGGAGGAGGGTGTCAGGAACCCCTTCAATGCTTATTTTTGGGGGTCTGCCATTCTGGGGGGGGGGATTTTGCTCTGCTGGGAGGGGGGGTCACAGATGTTGTCTCTTAACTATGATGTATCCCTAACTGTGTTCTAAGATGTACCCCTTTGGGTGTGAAGAGGGGGGAAGAATGTGCCAGGGGGGCATCTGCCTTATCATCTCCGCTACGTTGTGAAAACTGATGCAACGCCTGGGAACCGTCCCTTATCAGCTCCGGTTCCCATAACAACTTCGCACCTGTGGGTTGGCTGGAAATGAACCGGACAGTTGGACTCTGGGTGGTGATGGGTTTGTGAAGGGAAGTTTTATTGTTAACGATTTACCCGGGAATTCTTTAGCTCATGCTTTGTTTTGCTGCTTTCACTGTCTCCCAATAAAAGTTCCTGCCAGTTTCAAGAGTTCTGCTTTCTTGGGAACACTAGCTGAGGGAGGAGGAGGAGGAGGAGGAGGAGGACTGTGGGGTCCATATTTATTTATTTATTTATGAGACTTATATTCCTCTTTAAGTGCAAGCACTCTCTAAGCAGTGTACACCAGTAAGCAATGTATATATATATATATTTACATTGCCCCCAACAATCTGGGTCCTCATTTTACCTACCCCGAAAGGATGGAAGGCTGAGTCAACCTTGAGCCGGTGAGATTTGAACCGCTGACCTGCTGAACACAGTCAGCTAAAGTGGCCTGCAGTACTGCACTCTAACTGCTGCGCCACCTCAGCTCATTGATATTGATCTCTGAGCTGGCTGCTTTCTTGCAGATGTTTCATGACCTGACTAGGTAACATCATCAATGCTAGAAGGGAGTCAGTGCAGTTTGTGGAGAGGGAGAGGAGGAGGAGGACTGTGGGGTCCATACTGATCTCTGAGCTGGCTGTTTTCTGGCAGTCATTTCATGACCTAACTAGGTAACATCATCAATGCTAGAAGGGAGTCAGTGCAGTTTGTGGAGAGGAGGACTGTGGGGTCCATATTGATCTCTGAGCTGGCTGTTTTCTGACAGTCATTTCATGACCTAACTAGGTAACATCATCAATGCTAGAAGGGAGTCAGTGCAGTTTGTGGAGAGGAGGAGGAGGACTGTGAGGTCCCTGGTGCTCTCTGAGCTTGGTTGTTTTCTTGCAGATATTTCATGACCCAACCAGGCAACATCATCAGTATTAGAAGGGAGGAGGAGGAGGAGGAGGAGGAGGAATGTTGGGTCCTTGGTGTCCTCTGAGCTTGGTGGTTTCCTTGCAGACGCTTCATGACCCAACTAGGTAACATCATCAGCACTAGAAAGGAGTTGGGGTTGTTTATATGCAGTGTCTTGCCCCATCAGGGAATCCAAGCAGCGGAACAGAATGGCTTATGGGAGAAGCAGCCCCGTTTCCTATTCCAGCACCCCGGACGGACCCACCTGACAGCATCCCAGCACTGCTCACAGGCGTGCTGCTCCCTGGCAGGCTGGCTGAGTTCATCCGAGCCTGGTCCTTCACGATCGGGTCTGGAAAGACAAGGAAGAAGACGATGAGCCCTTGCATGAACTACTCGGAGCCACGGGAAGGAAAAACATACGATGACCGCCACGGTGTCTGCTCGCTATGCTTGTCGGCCCTGACAGTCGTGGTCTTTTGTTGTTGTTGTTGTTGTTCTGGCGGTCGTTAAAGCAAATGCCATAGTCATTAAGCGAATCCATGGTTCCCTTGGCTGCCGTTTTGCCAGAAATGGGAAGGACATGGTTTTTTTTTCACAAAAACGGTCGTAAAACGTAATCGCCTAAATGTAGGGTGCTGCAAACGGACGTCAACATGTCAAGAGTTGATAAATGCCCGAAATTTGGTCACGTGACCAGAGGGGGATGGGGGGCTGACTGTCAAAACTTTGGAAGCCCAAAATAGTTCCATCGGAACTTTGAACACTTGCTAAGTAACCCGTCGTTAAGTCAAGAACTGATCTGTGTCAAGGTAATAATTGAACAGCTAGCCAGCTTATGTAATGGGAGATGTATGATGTAATGATAATGACTCAGCAGGGTCTGTGTCTCTTTAACAGCCTTTGTATAAAGGGGAAAGCTCTGCTGATGCATTTTCTCCCATTTCCTGCTGTGACTGGTGTGTTGGATCCTGCTGTATTAGCACATGTATGTATATTGTTCCCGATTTATAATATTGTAGATAGTGTAAGATAAACCACTATTTAATATGACCACTGTTTACAGTGTTTACTCCTGGGTTATCTCGCGCAATAAGACTGTGCATGCTCTGACAATCTGTTTGCACAAACAAACATCCCCGTTAGAGGGAGTAGCTTCCAAGTCTTACTGTTTATGGAGAATCTCAGTCATCCCGGTCCTGGTTGTCCCTAAGGTGCTTTTTCAGGAGGCAACTGGACCTTCTCATTTTTCTCCTTTGAAGATGTTTTGCTTCTCATCCAAGAAGCTTCTTCAGCTCTGGCTGGATGGTGGCGGAATGGTTTATACCCCTTGCAGACAGTTGGTCATTTGCCTTCCTTTCGAGAGTTGTTGAGGCCACTTGGAAGTTCACCTGTGTCCTCAGGGTCACCTGAATAGTACAAATGGGTATGGAGCAGGGGTCTTCAAACTTGGCCCGTTTATGACTTGTGGACTTCAACTCCCAGAATTCCTCAACTGAGTCCACAAGTCATAAACGGGCGAAGTCTGAAGACCCCCTGGTGTGGAGCCTTCTTGGGCAGAAAACATCCTGCAGCCAAGAAGGTTCCACGCCCATTTGCACTACTCAAGCGACCCTGAGGACACAGATAAATAGATTAACCTCCAAGTGGCCTCAATGACCCTCTAAACGAAGACAAATGACCAGCTGTCTGCAAGGAGTATAAATCCTTCCATTCCTTACCATCCAGTCAGAACCTGAAGAAGCTTCTGGGATGAGAAGTGAAATGTCTTCAGAGGAAAAGCAGCTTTTCGACTTCCATTATCTCACCTTCCCTCAGTTGCAAAAGCCCTAAGACTGGGTGTGCATGTATGGCCTGGGTAAACGGGAAAGACATTCCACCTGCTTAGTCAGCAACAGCAGGCACACGGATTAAAGATCTATAGGCAGTCCTCGGCATACGGCCACAAGGGAGCCCCAAATTTCTGTCGTTAAGTGAAGCCTTTGTTCAATGAGTTTTGCACCATTTTACAACCTTTCTTGCCCCAGTTGTTAAGCGAATTACGGCAGTTGGTTAAGTTCAGTATCCCAAGTTACCAAATCTGGCTTCCCCCATCGATCCCGCCTGTCAGAAAGGCGCAAAAGGGGATCGCGTGAGCTTGGGACACAGCAGCAGTCATCAAGATGAACCAGCTGCCCAGCATCTGGATTTTGATCACGTGACCCTAGGGGTCGTAAGTGTGGAAAACGGTCCCAAGTCACTTTTTCCAGTGCCGTTGTAACTTCGAAAGGCCACCAAACGAACTGTTGTAAGTCAAGGACTACCTGTGTTTAGTGCAGTTTTCCAGAACCCTCCAAAGTGGGACTACAAAAGCCAACATCCTTATCCAGCCCATCGACATTAAATCTGATCCTGCAGTCTAGCACATTTAGAAGGCCCTAAATTCTTATGTCTCCCAACCTTGGCAATATTAAGATGGCTGGACTTCAACTCCCAGAATGCCTCAGCCAGCTTGGCAATATTAAGATGGCTGGACTTCAACTCCCAGAATTCCTCAGCCAGCTCGGCAATATTAAGATGGCTGAACTCCCAGAATGCCTTGGCCAGCTCGGCAATATTAAGATGGCTGGACTTCAACTCCCAGAATTCCCCAGCCAGCTTGGCAATATTAAGATGGCTGGACTTCAATTCCCAGAATTCCTTGGCCAGCTCAGCAATATTAAGATGGCTGGACTTCAACTCTCAGAATGCCAGCTCAGCAACTGTAAGATGGGTGGACTTTTAACTCCCAGAATCCCCCAGCCAGCATTAGCTGGCTGGGGAATTCTGAGAGATGAAGTCCACCCATCTTAAAGGGGCCCAGCTCTAACAACGCTGTCCTTATACAAAGCTTTATTTTTTTTTTCCTTATCTCAGCTATCAACTCCAGGTCTGATTCCGTATTTGGCAGTACTTGGCCAACATCAACTTGTCGTCAGAAAAGGACGCAACCCTGTCACTCTGAAGAACTAATTAAGTCGGTTAGTGCAGCATCTAGGACCCTGTTCTCCAGGGTTACTCCGAAAAGCAGATCAAGTCATCATTTCCCGCCAGGTGTTTTGTCCGGCAAAGGGACGCTTGACCAGGCTTCTCGAAAGCCGGACTCACAGAAGTAAGGATGCTCCATGGCTTCTCTCGCCGTCAGTCGGGACTGGTGATCGTATCGCAGCAATTTGTCCAGGAAATCTAAGGCTTCAGGGCTGACCAAGTGCTGATTCTCACTGTGGACGAAACGTTCCCATCGCTTCCGCGAGTGCCTGCGGGACAGGGAAGAAGCGCAATCAGGGCGGCGGCCTTTGACCTGTCCCTGGCAGCTGCGTCAGGTTGTTCTAAACTGCTTTTAAGAAAATGTCTAGGGCTCCCCAATTCAAGGTTAGGGGGTCCCTTGGGGCTCTCTGAGCTTGCTGGTTTTCTTGCAGACGTTTCATGACCTGACTAGGGAACGTCATCAGTGCTAGAAGGGAGTGGGGTTTATAGAGAGGAGGAGGAGGAGGAGGAGGAGGAGGAGGAGGAGGAGGAGGGAGAGAGAGGAGGACTGAGGGGTCCTTGGTGCTCTCTGAGCTTGTTTGTTTTTTGGAAGACATTTCATGACCTGAGTAGGGAACGTCATCAGTGCTAGAAGGGAGTGGGGTTTATGGAGAGAGGAGGAGGAGGAGGAGGAGGAAGGAGAGAGGAGGACTGAGGGGTCCTTGATGCTCTCTGAGCTTGCTTGTTTTCTTGCAGATGTTTCATTACCCAACCAGGGAACACCATCAGTGTTATAAGGGAGTGGGGTTTATGGAGAGAGGAAGAGGAGGAGGAAGAGGAGGAAGGAGAGAGGACTGAAGGGTCCTTGGTTCTCTCTGAGCTTGTTTTCTCATCAGTGCTAGAAGGGAGTAAGGTTTGTGGAGGGGAAGAGGAGGGGGAGCCGTTTCATGACTAACTAGGTAACATCATCAGTGCTAGAAGGGAGTGAGAGCAAACCCCCATTTCCTTCTGGCACCGATGATGTTATCTAGTTTGGTAATGAAACGTCTGCAAGAAAATCATCAAGCTCAGAGAGCACCAAGGAGAGTCCTCCTCCTCCTCTTTCTCCTCCTTTCTTCTCCACAAATCCCACTCCCTTCTAACATTGATGTTGTTCCCAATTTGGGTTATGAAATGTCTGCAAGAAAACAAGCAAGGCAAGGACCCCTCCTCATTTCAACCCTCAGTTGCAAATATTCTCCTTTATTGGTATCACTCAAGGTCATTCTGGGGAAGCTTACAAAAATACACACACACACACACACACACACACACACACACACACACACCAATCAAACCGGCCACCTGATGACCTCTGTATCCCCCCTAGCGTCCCCCAGGCTGGTTGGCAAAACCTGCTCTTTCATATAATTTCCCAAAAGGCAACTCTCACCTGCCAGCCAAATCAGGATAAGTCTAATGATTTATTGCAAGCTTAAGTTTCCTACAAGAATCTGAGCTACTAATGGACAAGAGAAATGAGCGGGAACAAGATCTCTTGTGGGAGTGCAGGGACTCGTGGCTGATGACGTGTTTTGATAGCCCCCTCCCCTGGGCTCAGCCGGGTTATCTCCTACAACCCTACAGCAGGGGTCGGCAACTTTAAACACTCAAAGAGCCACTTGGACTCATTTCCCAGAGAAAACACTGGGAGGGGGCTTGAGTGAAGAATTTAATTCAAAAGAAACAGAGGCTGCTGTGCATGAGTTCTCTCTCTCCCCCCCCCTCCTTTCTCTTCCTCCCCCCTCTTTTTCCCCCTCTCTGCGATCTTCTGCTTACCAGCTGGCCTGATGCTGGCTGTTCTCCAACAAGCTGACATACATTCTTATTGGGCTGGCTCTCTCCTGCCCTTGGTATGCCAGTCCTCTTCCCTCCCCCCCCGTGTGTGTGTGTGTGTGTGTGTGTGTGTGTGTGAGAGAGAGAGAGAGAGAGAGAGAGAGAGAGAGAGAGAGAGAGAGAGAGAGAGAGAGAGATGCTGCTTTCTGCTGAGACACAGCAAAGGCAGGAGCCCCGCCCAATAAGCTTGTCAGTGAACAGCATGAGGCCACCCTCTTTTTTACACACACACACAGAGAGAGGGGGGGGAGCGCAAGTGCCTCTCTCTGTCTCTCTCTGCAAATGACCGGGAGCCACAGGAGAAGGCTGAAAGAGCCACATGCGGCTCTGGAGCTGTGGGTTGCCGACCCGTGTCCTACAGCAACTGGACTTCCTTTATTTTCCATTCCTCTCCCTTCCTCAAACACACACACACACACACATACACACACAGATGAACACCATTTGTGGAATGTGGGCTGCCCTCCATATCTGGCTCTTGATCCCTTCCATCCTACCTGCCCAGGATGTCGTTGAAACGGGGGTCGAGCTCAATGTTGTATTTGTCAATGTAGTCGTAAAGGTCTTCTGTTCCCAATACTTTGGCTATTCTCACCAACTGCAAACAGACAATGGGAGACAGAGGGTGGGGTGTAATGATTAAAAAAAAATACAGATAATCCTTGACTTAACCATTTGTTTCGTGATCGTTTGAGGCTCCAGTGGCATTGAAAAAAGTGACTTATGACTGTTTCCCCACACTTACGACCACTGCGGCATCTCCATGATCACATGATCAAAATTCAGCCGCTTGGCTACTGGCTCATATTTACGATGGTCGCAGTGTCCCACGGTCATGTGATTCCCTTTTGTGACCTTGTGACAAGCCAATAGGGAAGCCAGATTCACTTAACAACCGTGTTACTACCTTAACTGCACTGATTCATTTAACCGTGTTACTACCTTAACGAGTGCAGTGATTCACTTAACAACCGTGTTAGTACCTTAACGAGTGCAGTGATTCACTTAACCGTGTTACTAACTTAACAACCGCAGTGATTCACTTAACCATGTTACTAACTTAACTGCAGTGATTCACTTAACCATTTTACTACCTTAACGACTGCAGTGATTCACTTAACAACCGGGTTACTATCTTAACTGCAGTGATTCACTTAACAACTGTCACTAACTTAACTATAGTGATTCACTTAACAACTTACTAACTTAACTGCAGTGATTCACTTAATAACCATTACTAAGTTAACAACTGCAATGATTCACTTAACAACTGTTTTACTAACTTAACTGCAATGATTCATCTCGTGACACTGAAGTTCTTTGCAAACAATTGCCTCCAGCAACCAGCCCTGCCCACACATTCCCTTTTTGTTACGCAACCCCCAAGGCTTTGTTTCTCACTGCTTTCTCCTCTTTCCCTGGAGTCGCCCCATTGCCTCCCTTTGTTCTACTCATGTGACCTGTCTACCTTTACCAGCGTCTCTGAGGTCTTCCAGCTGTGCTTCCTCCCAGTCCCAGCACAGCTGGCTCTCAGCTTGATCATGAGTGGAGGGACCAGCCTCTTCATTAGTTTGATGGCTCTCCAGGCCCCTCCTCCTCCTCCGATTCCCCAGGCCTTAACTACACGGATCACAGGCTGGCACGGAATCACAACAGGTGCGATGCAGCCCCAGTGGGAGGATGTCCCATGTGTCTATCAGGGCATCTACCTGTCTTGAGGGTGAAAGTTCGTTCTCTGAGCTTGCGGATTGGTTTCCGAACATTTCGTTACCAGGCTAGGTAACATCTTCAGAGGGGTTTAAGGGGTGTGTGTGTGTCAGTGCTCTTCTGTTTAGAGGGCTTCGGGGCTGGGTGTGTCGAGTGAGGGTCTTGTGATGGGTCAGGTGTGAGTCACCAGTGAGAGGCTGGTGATGGCTCTTGCGATGGGGGGGGGGGTTTACATCAGATCATGGTCCTTGGGAGGTGAACTGCTGGTGGAGGGGAGATAATGCGGGATGATTATGGGCCACTGCTGTCTCTGGTGGGCTGTGTGATTTGGATTCTGAGGGGTTCATAGGCTGGTTGTAGGTCGATGTGTGTCAGGATAATTTCATAGCTAAGCAGCTTATGTAATGATGCAATGTAAGGTAGATGATGCAATGGTAAGAATAACTGAGCAGGGTCTGTGTCCCTTTAAGAGCCTGAGTATAAAAGGGAAGGCTTTTGCTGCTGTGTTCTCTCTCGTCCGTTTCCTGCTGTAATTGCTGTATGTTGCGAGTGTGCTGTCTTACCACGTGTATTTTGTTCCTAGCGTATATTGTAGATAGTGTAATATAAACCACCATTTAATACAAACCACTGTTTACTGTATTTACTCCTGGGTTACCTCAGCGCAACAAGACTGTGCATGCTCTGACAATGTGTCTGTTAATGGAACTGCTTATGCAGTGCCAGGCTTCAATGAACTCAGGTGGTGGCGTGGCCAATGGTTTTTGTGTCGCCCCAATCAAACTGGTGCTGCTTGGGGTCGGTGTGGGTCCCCATCAGGAGACCCATCACCAGCCTCTCGCCCCTGACCCATCACAAGACCCTCACTTGTCACACCCACCCCTGAAGTTCTCACAAACGGAAGAACACCAATACTAACATCCCCCAACACTGAAGATGTTACCCAGTCTGGTGACAAAATGTTTGGAAACCAACCCACAAGTTCCGAGAACGAAACTTCACCTTCATCCTACAGATATTCGCCACTACTGCAAATCTTCCTGTCTACCTACCCCTGGACAAGGCTGACCTCATGTCGAAAGTATAGGCCGGGAGAAACCCATTGGTGGATTCTCCATCTCCAGTGCTGGAGAACTACCTGTCTACCTACCCCTGGACAAGGCCGACCTCATGCCGAAGGTGCAGGCCGGGAGGTTTTGCTACCCATGCACTCACCTGATCGTAATTGTCGTGACCGTGGAAAAAGGGCTCCTTTCGAAAGATCATGCTGGCGAGCATGCACCCCAAACTCCACATGTCCAGACTGTAGTCGTACATCTGTAAAGGGAGGGGGGGAGGAAGGGAGAGGGGAAAGAAGAAGAAAGAAGAAGTCCATCAGCCTGGCTCGCTTGCAGATCGACAAGGAAAAGACCCAACAAGGATAGACTGCGTTCTCTCATGGGGAATTTGCACAGTCTGCATTCAGCAGGTAGGAAGAAAACCTCCCATAATTTCCATCCTACCGATCCATAGGTAGTCCTCTACATATGGACATCATGGAGCCCCAAATTTTGGTGGCTAAGTGAAACATTTCCAACGTCTCCTCCTCCTCCTCCTTTCCCTACAACCCCCGTGAGCTGGGTTGGGCCAAGAGGAAGGAACTGGGGGGCTAAGCAGAACTAGAACTCACCATCTCCTGTTGATTGGCCCAAAGCCACCCAGTTGCTTTTATACCTAAGGTGAGACTATAACTCGCAGTCTACTGGTGATTGGTCCAAAGTCACCCAGCCGGCTTTCATGCCTAAGGCGAGACTAGAACTCGCAGTCTCCTGGGGATTGGCCCAAAGTTACCCAGTTGCTTTCCTACCTATGGCAGGACTAGAACTCACAGTCTCTTGGTGATTGGCCCAAAGTCACTCAACTGGCTTTCCTGCCCAAGGTGGAATTAGAATTCACTGTCTCCTGGTGACTGGCCCAAAGTCACCAGCCAGGTTTTATGCCTAAGGCGGGACTAGAACTCTCCGTCTCCTGGTGATTGGCCCAAAGTCACTCAGCCAGCATTCATGCCTAAGGCGGGACTAGAACTCCCAGCCTCCTGGCGATTGGCCCAAAGTCATTTAGCTGACTTTCATGCCTAAGGCGGGACTAGAGCTCCCAGCCTCCTGGCGATTGGCCCAGACACCCATTTCTTCCTGCCTACAGGACTAGAACTCAACGTCTCCTGGTGACTGGCCCAAAGTCACCCAACTGGCTTTCCTGCCTAAGGTGGGACTGTCTCCTGCTTTCTAGCCGGGTGCCTTAACCACTAGACCAAACTGGCTCTAAATAACATTTTTATTTTTTTCATTTCATTTTGCTTTCTTTTTTCATCCTAGGCTCTACTGGGGCAGCCCAATGGCTGGTTTCGGCCGTCCTTTTTTCCCAGGTGTGTGGTCATTTCCACATCAAAAGCGCAATTACCTGATAGTCTACAAGGAGTTCCGGGCCTTTGAAGTATCTGGAAGCCACTCGGACGTTATATTCCTGACCCGGATGATAGAATTCAGCCAAACCCCAGTCTATTAGCCTCAGCTAAAAAAAGAAGAAAAATTAAGGTGGGAGGTGATTTTTTTTACCTTGGTTGGCAACACTTTGCAGATCCCCTGATGGAATGGGTAACAAAAGAAATTAAAAGAAAAAAAAAGCTGTAGAAATCCACAATTATTAGACACAGCTCAGAAATGAAACAGCCATACCGTATATGCCAGGGTACAAGGTGACCCGGCGTATAAGACGACCCCCGTCTTTGTCGCTGAGTCGCATTCCTAGAACGTCATCTTATACGCTGGAAACTACCAGTATTTCCGGCGTATAAGACGACTCGGCGTATAAGACGACCCCCGTCTTTGGCGCCGATTTGAACGCTTGTGGAAGTCGCCTTATACGCCGGCATATACGGTAGTTTAAAACAGGGGTCTTCAAACTTGACCCTTTGATGACTTGTGGACTTCAACTCCCAGAATTCCTCAGCCAGGCACGCCTGGCTGAGGAATTCTGGGAGCTGAAGTCCACAAGTCATCAAAGGGCCAAGGTTGAAGACCCCTGGTTTAAAAGTACCACTGAATTACAGCCAGTCCTCAACTTGCAATCGCAACTGAGGCCCCAAATTTCCGTTGCTAAGCGAGACACGTTGCTAAATGAATTTTATCTCTTTTGACAACCTTTCTTGCCACCACTAAGCAAATCCCTGCAGTTGTTAAGTGAGTCACATGGCTGTTAAGCGAATCAGGCTTCCCCCATTGACTTTGCTTGTCTGGAAGACCGCAAAAGGGGATCATGTGACCCCTGGGACGTGGCAACCGTCATAAATATGAACCATTTGCCAAGAGTTTGAATTTTGATCATGTGACCATGGGGATGCTCCAGCGGTCGTTAAGTGTGAAAAAAAAGGTCCTACGTCACTTTTCCCAGTGCTGTTGTAAGTTGAATGGTCACATAACTTAAGGACCACCCGTACTAAAGAAATTAAAGAGAGTATAAGAGTAAATTATTTTGTTTTGTATTATCTGTCCAAGCCAGAGGATGCTCACAATAGGCCATAGTCCCATTGTGCTGATTGAATATAAGTAGTCCTCAAGTTACGGTCACAATTGAGCCCCAAATCTACATTGCTAAGTGAGTTTGCCCCATTTTACGACTTTTCGTGCCCCGGTTGTTAAGTGAATCATTGGGTTTATTAAGTTAGGACCACGGTTGTTAAGTGAATCTGACTTCCCCACTGACTTTTCTTGTCAGAAAGGCGCAAAAGGAGAGTCACGTGACACACACACACATATGCGGCCGTCATAAATGTGAGTCAGTTGCCATGCGGCTGAATTTCGATCACACGATCAAGATGCTGCAACAGTTGTGTGAAAAACGGTCCTCAGTAGCTTTTTTCAGTACCGCTGTAACTTTGAACGGTCACTAAGTGAACTGTTGTGAGACAAAGACTGCCTGTATACCAAATTTCTCTTTTTTCCTAATCGGTTTTTTTAGCAAGACCTAGGCCAGGGGTTGGCAACCTTGGCTCTTTTATGACTGGTGGACTTCAACTCCCAGAATTCCTGAGCCAGCATGGCTCAGCTTGGAAACCTCTCCCTTTCCCCTCAGCATGGCTGGCTCGGGAATTCTGGGAGTTGAAGCCCACGAGTCACAAAAGAGCCAAGGTGGCATACCCCTGACCTAGGCCACAAGGTAAGGGGGCAAGCCTCGGCAGCCCACTGAAGTACAGTGAGGAGAAAGAGCGTGAACCCTCACTGTCCACCATTCCTCACCTTTCGATGCTCGTGGTCAATCATGACGTTGTGAGGTTTGACGTCTCTGTGCATGATCCCCATACTGTGGCAATAATCCAGGGCCTGCAGAAGTGAAAGATACCCCAAGATCAGAAAGAGGGGTTCATATATACCAGGGGTCTTCAAACCTGGCCCTTTTATGGCTTGTGGACTTCAACTCCCAGAATTCCTCAGCCAGGCGTGCCTGGCTGAGGAATTCTGGAAGCTGAAGTCCACAAGCCATAAAAGGGCCAGGTTTGAAGACCCCTGTTCTATAGAATATATAAGGCAAGTATGAGTATTTTGAGGAAATCTTGAAGGAACATTCTGGAAAAAGAGTAGATAGAGGCCTAGTTCAGATTTTTGTTGGCTGCTTTGTGGCTCTGCAGCTGGAAGAGAGGTAATTATCACTAAATGTAGAACAAGGGTAGGATTTCTGCTTTTTTTTTCCCTCATAAAGAATGTAATATAGGTATGTAGTCCTAAACCAGTGGACTTCAAACTTGGCCCTTTTAGGACTGGTGGACTTCAACTCCCAGAATTCCTCAGCCAGCAAGGGGAATTCTGGGAGTTTGAAGTCCACCTGTCTTTAAGGTTGCCCAGGTTGAGAAACATTTCCTTAAGCAATTTATTCAAGGTGGAGAGGTGAGATTATAAAGCAGTGGCAACTCTGAAGAGAAACCAATCTTACTACTCTGAGGTTCTATTGGTTACAATGCTATTAAATAATGAGGAAGGGAAGAAAATAGAGAAAAAGGGAAAGGAAGGGAAAGGAAAGGAAAAGAAAGATGGAGGGAAGTAGGAAAGAAAGAAAGAAAGAAAGAAAGAAAGAAAGAAAGAAAGAAAGAAAGAAAGAGAGGGGGGAGAGAGAAAGAAAGAAATAAAAAAGAAAAAAAGAAAGGAAGGAAGGAAGGAAGGAAGGAAGGAAGGAAGGAAGGGAGGGAGGGAGGGAGGGAGGGAGGGAGGGAAAATGGAGAAGAAGGAAAGGAGAGGAGAGGAAAGAGAAAGGGACACATCTGAATCAAGAGATCTGATTCATCTATCCTTGGTCTGTCTTAACTCCTCAGGGAAAGAAGAAAGACCTTATCAAGCCCCAAAATGGCTGACCTCTATTTCTCAAATGCTATTTCTGGACCACCTCAAACGCACTTAACAAAAGTCAACTCACCTTCAAGATTTCATACATGTAGAACCGAATGTCGTAGTCTGTTAACGTCTGATATAATTGCTGTGGGGAATTAACACAACACGGTCAAAGAGGAATCCAGCATCAACCTTCCCATTTGTCACCCAACAAGGAAATTAGGCACAATCTCAGTGTGTGGATCCACTTCTAGGCGGCTTAAAAATACACATTTCCTGAACTGGTTATCGTCCTAATTCACAGCATTGCTGGCTGTGGAATTCTGGGAGTTGAAGTCCACATGCCTTAAAATTGTCAAGTTTGGGAAACACTGTCCTAATTTAACATTTTCCTGTGCCAGATCCCTGTAGCAGGACTGTCTTCAGAGGGGGGGGCTGCATTGCACATATAATTGACCCCCCACACAAACCCAATTTCTTACAGTGGGAACTGGGCGTCCACAGCAATGTCTTCTGCCTTGATAAAAGCTACTGACTTCTGCCTGACTTTACGTTCTTTTTTTTTTCCACCGTTGTTAAGCAGAACACGGTGGTTAAGGGAATCACAGGGTCCCAGCTTCCTCCCTTGACCTGGGAAAGTCACAGAGGGGGGGATCACGCGACCCTGGGACGTTGCAACCGTTGCAAATAAATGCTGGCTTGCCAAGGATCCAAACATAACCGCCAGGATGCTGCAAGGAAGGATTATAAGCCACTTTTTTCAGCCCCGCCCCAGCTTGGAACGGCCGTTAAATAAATGGTCATTAATATGAGGACAACCTGTACTGTATATATCAGTGATAGAAAAACTTTTAACGACCGAGTGCCCAAAAACTGGCCTCGCCCCTGCTCCACCCCGATGCTCTGCCACTGCTCTGCCACCCCATCCACCACCCTGCCTGCCCAC